TAACTGAACCTGGAACTCGCAGACTAGCTGGACAGCAAGCTCCAGGGATCTTCCTGTCTCCACCTAAATTACAGGTGTATACCCCAGAGCATAGCTTTTTGTACATGGGTCCTGGGGTTCAAAGTCAGGTCCTCATGCTTCCATGGCAAGCACTTTGCCGACTGAGAGAGCCACCTACCCTACCCTATCTCCCTTTTAAATAGAAGGAAAGCTTTCCTAGAAGCCAGGGACCTTCCCCTCCAGCATCACTGGCCAGACTGCATCATAATCCTACCACCAGAATAATCTCTGACTAAGAAAACTCACCACTGTCATGGACCCAGACCAATCCACCCACCCCTCGGGGCCTATAATTGGCATTAGTCTGTCTAAAACAGTGCTATACATAAGAGTTTCAATACCTGAAGAGAGGGAGTGTTCTCTAGGAAGAGGAATCAGGGAGGAAAGTTGGGTTCGCCTCTGACAGTGGCTGCCATACTCCATATCTTAACATTTCCATCACAGATGCCACCATTACTAGTCAGATAACTTGTACTCTGAGACCACACTGCCATAATTATAAATATGATAATTATTTATCAACCAGATAAGTCAGGCCTTTTCATTTGTCCATCTCTCACCAACAACTGAAAATGAGTGAATGTGTGCACAAGTCTTGCACATGCAACTTGACCAGACCTCAAATAGGAGCCACTTGCCTGACCCTCCGCCCATAAAAACTTCACTCCAGGTGCTGTTATCAGCTTAAATGTCAGATATCATCACCTAAGTTAACCCTTCACAAAAGTATGAGAGCATTCCCCTGAGAAAAATCAATGTTTTAAACCGAAACCCAGGGCTGGAGAGACGCTTCAGTGTTTAAGAGCACTTACTGCTCTTGAAAGGATGCAACACTCTCTACTGGCTTCCATGGGCACCTGCACACATGTGGTGCACATAAATTCACACAGGCCATACGTGTGAGTGTGCGCCCACGTGCGCGCGCGCACACACACACACACACACACACACACACACAAACACGTGTTTTAAAAATTAAATTGCAACTCATTAAAAGCATCAAATCATTGATGAATATTCCAAAGGGTGTTATAGAGCCTTTCATGGGCTGACACTGACTATTCAACAGTGAGTTCAGGAAAAGATCTCTCTCTCTCTCTCTCTCTCTCTCTCTCTCTCTCTCTCTCTCTGGCCTAAAACTCCTCAGGTCATGAGGCTTAGCAGCAAGTGCCTTTATGCACTGATCCATCTTGCCAGCCCTAAGTAGTTTAAGAATAGTATAAGAACAGTTAAAGAACAGGTTCCTAACTACTTCCTGGCAGCAGATCCACAGGTCTCCACCAGACCCACGTGGGGTCCTGTGTCCCAGTTCTCAGATGTAGCATTCATTTCCCAGAACTTTCACAATCCTCTACAGGACATTTTACATGTGAGAGTTTCAAAACTGTTTTCTTTTTCATTCATTAAAAATTCAGTAACAGGACTGGAGAGATGGTTCAGTGGTTAAGAGCACAGGCTGCTCTTGCAGAAGACCTGGATTGGGTTCCCAGCACCCACACGGCAGCTAACAACCATACCTAACTCAAGTTCTAGGGAATTTGATGCCCTCTTCTGGCCTCTGCCACCATTGTACAACATAGGTGCACTTACATACACTCAGACAAAACACTCATACACATAATTAATACATTTAAAAAAGGTTTTAAAATTCAATAGCATTTTTTGTATTCTTTTACATTTACTCATTCTTTGGGAGATGTGCACATGTGACACAGCATGTGTGTGAAAGTCAAAAGACATCTTGTGGGAGAGAGTGGTCCTCTCCTTTCATACCATGTGAGTCCCAGGAATTGAACTCAGATCATTAGACTTGGCATCAAGTACCTTTACCTGCTGAGCCATCTTGCTAGGCCCCTTTCTTAAATTTTTTTATTACATTTCTGTATTTGTGTGTGTGCTCATATATGTATGTGGGTGGGGGTATGTGCCACAGTGTGTATATAGAAGACAGAGGACAACTTGTAAGGGTCAGTTCTCTCCTTTGACCATGTGGGTTCCAGGGATCCAGCCCAGGTCTTCAGGCTTGCCAGCAAGTGCCTTTACCCACTGAGCCCTCTCACCAGGCCTCAAAAGTATTTCAAAAAGGAAATAAAGTTATTGTTTCCATATGAAAATGCATTGTACATATGTTTTTTTCATATAGTTCAGTTTCAAAAAGTTCAATATTAGTCATTCCAAATATTGTTTTATAATGGCATTAAAAAGGGTCAGTGAGATGACTCAGTGGGAAAAGTGCTTGCCATGCGAGCCTGACAACCAGGGTTCCATCCCCAGAATTCAGTTGAAGGTAGAAGCGAACCAACTCCACAGGTGCCCTCTGACCTCCACCCATACGGCATGGCGCACACACTCACACATTATACACACAGTAATAAATTATTGTTAATGGCATAAAAAGAGAAGGTCATCTTAAGTTGACTGCTCGTGGCAGAACTGGATGAACTTTATTCCTTGTTAAAGGAAAACATTATACTTTCAAGGGAATGATAAAAGATTCACTACAGGCTACAAGATGGCACTGTGATTACAAGCTGGTCTTAATGTTATTTATTAATAGAGATGTTTTATTATATAATAGGGATTTACTAAAAGTCCTCTAAACCATCCTAAAAACTCAACTCCTTTTTAGGAAACATAAGGATGTCAGTAATCTTCTAAATTCTCACATTTTGAAATGAAGTAATTCCGTTAGATGCCTGATACCTCTTTATCTGAAGACTGAATTCTAACAAACAATGTATTTTCAAAACATCCTCATGACACAAATAACAAAGTTTTGACCCACAGAAATGGTAGTTGTTAGATGACTGGTCTAAAAGTAAATATGGATCTTAACATTCTAGAAGTACAGCTGCTTCAGACAGATACAAAGTGAGCAACACCTAAAATATACTGACTGGTTATCCTGTGCCCTGACAAACAGCTACCAAGCTCTCAAATCCATAATATTTCACTGGTAGCTACTTTATGAGAAGCAGACCATAAAATTGTATTTCAACTCGAACTTCATACCTCCAATTGTTTTACTTACAATTAAATCAGAGCTTGAGACTATTTATGGGCTAAATGATGGGCAAAGAGATAAATGCAGGGTTTCGGTTTTATCTGGGGTCCTGAAGTTTCAAAACCACTGAGAAATCTGAGCCCCGTGATCTTCGTTTGCTCATGCACGAACAATTCCCAGCACCATGCATTTTTCCAAGGCTGTCTTCTCTTCTGGCAAGACCAGCGCAGTCACATGAAGCAATGCCTCATTTTCTCCGGAGGTATTTTCACTTTAACTCTTTTCTTCCCTCCCCCAGGACACATACCTTGAAAGTGCCCTCTGAAATGAGAAAGAAGTGATAAAACTGAAGAAGACTAAGGAACGTAATGACTACAGTTTCGCTCATTTAAATATCTTTAATCTCATGTCCCCATGTAGTGCTTTTGCATGTGTAACCATTTAGTTTCAAAGTAAAAAATGTAATACTTTTCCTTATACGAGTACAATATGTGCATCCATCACAAGAAAGGACTTGACCTTGAGGTGTGCAAATTCATTTGTCTCGTTGCTAGACGTACTAATAACCTGAAGATGGCTATGCTTCAACTTTTGATGTTTCTAAACGTTCCAGTGGAACATCTAATGATCCCCATAAACACGATTTTGCTCACAGCCAAAGAAAAGTCATTTCTGATGGAGTTCTGCAACATCTCTCAGTCCTGCACTGGTGAGGACAAGCACACAGCCAAAATTAAGATGGGCTTAGTTTTCTGCTGAATAAAACATCCACTACCACCCCTTCTAATAAACAACCACAGAGGGATATGTGACTGAGTTTTTAATCCTCTGGTGTGGTGTGTTGTCGATGACTACTTCACTAAGCAGGAGAGCAGGAATCTGGAAAATCTATTACAGCACACTGGCCTTCACGTGCCTTCATATGGTACCCTTTAAAAATGCTTTTATGTGTTGTGGCTGAGAGCAAAATGGAATAGGGATATTCACTAAATGCTTTTAGGAAAAGCTCAAGATTGAGAAAAAGGTATCAGGGAAAACCACTATTTCTCTTAAAGAGTTAGGATAAAACTATTTTTCTTTAAAAAGGTATTTCGGAAGCAGGGAGCAGGGCATATACTAAATTCACTAAACAGCCAAATGTTACAGGTTGAGGCAAGGTTGGGGTAGCAGCGGCTAAATACACTGAAAGATAAAGAGTCACGACTTCCTGCAATTTCCGCTCTGTTTGGCTTTTGTTTTCTTCTGCCAGTCTCTCTTTACTGAGTCACTCTATAGCCGACAAGCTCCCAAAATGAGTTTCTCTCCATCTATAACTTTAGTAATTGTTGCAAAACACGCTAGCCTTCCTCTTTTGCTTTCCTCCCTCTGGGGAGAGGCGGGAACTGTCGAACCTGAGAACCTAAAACCCTTCATTCTTTCTGCTTCTGACGAAATGGCCCCGCGATTGATGTGAAGTTCTTCAGCGGAAGGTGTGGCCTGTGCCGCACTCGACGAAGTTAGGCCAACGTTACACCGAGGGAAATTCTGCTCCATTGGCCAGAAATCCCCCAGGGACATCTCTAGACTCGGGGGATAACCCCAGTGCTCTCTTTGCGGCCAAGTTCAGAAACTACATAGAACTGAGTCAAGAGCCAAGTACCAGCAGGCGAGGTGTATCTGGCGGGGAAAGAACCGACTTGAGGAGGGCGGAGCTGGGGAGACCCAGGGTCCCCTGCCCGCATCCTGCAGGCACCTGCTTCTCTCGCTCGTCCGGCAGCCTCCCATCCCCCGTTCCCACCAAGCCACACAGGCGCCTGCAACAGGACACCGGCTCCGCGCGTCTCAGCTGCCCCAACGCCTACAGGTGGCACCGGCTAGCCCGCGCGCCCTCGGAGCCCGAGGGCAGACGATCAGGCTAGCCCGGGACCGCGCTGCCCTGCTGCCGCGGCGGGCGTACCTTGGATGTAGGCGCACTTGCCCTCGTCCAGCTGGCTGGAGGCCGAGCCGCCCATGGCCGCGGTGCCGCACCCGGAGCAGAGGACTAAGCGCTTCGGACAGGCGATGCCTGAGGCTCGCAGCTGAACGTGGATGCGACCGGGAACCCGGCTCTGAAATTAAAGGGCCAACTTCCTCCAGAGGCGTTGCTGGCCTGGGCGCCTCCTCCAGGCCCGCGCCCTCCCAAGATGTGTGGGCTGGCCCCGGGCTGTTTTCCCTCCCTCACTGTGCTGCTGAGCTCCAGGGGTTGTCCAAGCTGAAGGGAGTTCCCTGTCTCCTGGCTGACTTTTCTCCAGTTTGCGGGGGGGGGGGGGGGGGGGGGGGGAAAAAAAAAAAAACAAAAAACGGGGAGGGAGGAGAGAGCTCACCACGAGGGAGAAAATATCGTGCCATCGTAGATTTTGGGGGGGGGGGGGGGGCAGAAACACATAAGAAACACATAACGTGGAGGTAGTAGTCCACTTCCCAGGTGACTGTAAACTTCTGCCCCTTAGAAGCTTCCCCACCCCCATCCCACCAGGCGGAGGTCAAGAGTCTATGGCTTTGCAAGACCTGTTCTCCAGCAGCTGAGTGCCCTGTTTCTCCACCTTCCCCCCAACCCCCACCCCCGACACACACACTCACACACTGTCCTGATGGGAAACGCTGGAAGTGACAACCAGCAATCTGTGTTTTCAAAACCTGACAGAGAATTCCCATGCCCCGAAGTATAGGAACCACAGAGATCCATACTTTCCAGCAACCAAGGACCAAGGAGAGGGTGGGAATTAAGAGGAAAACGAAAAAGAAATGGAGAAGCCCAGAAAACACCAAGGCGTGGGTCCTGTAATGCACCCTCAGCCCTGAAACTTCCTAAGATTCTTGGAAGCCTGTTCTGACACCTCACAGGTTCCGGTCTTCTTGCTAGAAACAGGTCACAGGAAAGGACATTAGTACTTCCCCCACAACTGCTGTTTACCTTGGTAACCTGGTCTGACCAAGATCTGTCTGGGCAGAGGAGTTACCTGATTTCATCCTGTTCTTGAAGGTTAGATTTTTAGCCTAAGGAGGACTTTAAGCGTTCCCCACACCTGCCTCTAAAATTAATTAACCAGCACTTTAGCACAAACATTTCTCACATCTGACACCCAGTCTCTCATGCTGGGCATGCCAGGCCATCAATAAATCCTATCAAGTCTAATTTCAAAATGTGTCCAATGTCCAGGCAATTCTTACATCCTTCACTGCCCTCATTTCTTGACTTAAGCGTTACAACAGTCTCCTTTCTTCAGAGAAAAAAACCACAGAGTGTATTAAAGTCTAGGCTGGGCTTCCTCTCTTACCTCAGCTACTGCCACTCTTCCCTGCACCCTCTACTGCAGTCCCACTCACCTTCCTGTTCTAAGATGATTTGATCTCCTGCACCGATGAGGACAGCCTTTGTTACTCTGTGTGTCCCACTTCATTCAAGTGTCAGCCTCAACCTCAGGGACTGGTGCACAACAGCACACTTGGTAACATGCTTGCCTAGCTAGCATGCTTGAAGCTCTGGGTTTGATTTTCCAGCACAACATGAAGTGGGTGTGGTGGCACAAACCTGTAATCCCAGAACTCAGGAGATGGCTGCAGGAGGATCAGGAGTTCAAGGCCCTTGACAGCTTTATAGAGTGTTGGAAGTCACCCTGGGCTACACGAGACCCTGTCTAAAATAAATAAAGTAAAATAAAATAAAAGGCTAATATCTCAGAGAGACTCGCCCTGAGCCTGCCTTAAACACCAGCCACACCTCTCTGCCCCTTGCCCATCTACTTCTGTTCCCATCATTTAGCCTCATTTCACCTCTAGCTCTTCATTTCTGTCTTTTCCCCACTGACATAAAAGCTCTGTAAAGTCAGGGATTCTGTTATTGAGATTGCTATTGTTTCTTAGGACCTTTAAAAATGTGTTTGTTTTCTTGTTCATTTTTTTTCTCTTATGGCAGGTGTTTTTGTCTGTTCTCTGTCACGTCTCAAATGCTTGAAACAGTACCTAGTACATAGTAGAGGCCTAGTATACAGTCCCTTGTATACAGTGGTGCTCGATAGCTCAATATCTAGTCACTGAAGAAGTGAATGAATAAACAAATATAAAATATAAGTACCTGAACTCCATGAAAGCTGTAATATCAATGAATAAAGACCATTTCTTGGTAACTACTCAACAATTCAAGCTATTCAACGTTGACTTCTTCTGTCAATAGTCTAGCTGTTCTTGAACTATATTTTCTCCAAGTACTAATTCCTTTTGTTACATAAATTGATCTAATTGCACCTCAGAATGCTGTTCTTGTTATCGAAGAAAACTGATTGGATCTCCTGCCAAAATTATGGCTTTAGTCACTAGTATAGTTTGAGGAAATGACTGATTATTCTGATATATCACTTTCCTCTTCTCTGTATTCACAGTTGGAAGGGTTTGTATGGAGTAGTATTAACAAGTTTGTAACCTGGCAGTTCCAGTTTTGAGCCACTAACTGGTCATGTGGTCTGGTCAGGTTGCTCAATTCTCCTGTTGTTTTAGTTAGCTTTCTATCGCTGTGAAAAATATCTGTGATAACCAGCTCATACGGAATAAGAGATTATTTGGCTTATGGTTCAGAGGTCCAGATTAAGGTCTTGTGGTTGCATTGTCTTTGAGCTTGTATCAGCACAATCTACTATGAATTTATTTATTTACTTATTTTGTCCTTTGGGTTTTTGAGCCAAGTCTTTGGAATGTAGCACAGGCTGGCCTGGAACTCATTATCCTTCCTGCCCTGCCTCCTGAGTACCAGTACTTCTCAGGACCTTCCATGACAAAAGCATGTAGCAGGGTTGCTGCTCACCTCACAGCAGCTGGGAACCAAAGTGGATGGGGACTAGGATCCCAGCATCTCCTTCCAGAATACCCTCCCAAGGATCTGACTTCCCTCCACTAGGCCCCATCTCCTGAAGGTTCCACCACCATTCAGTAGTACCACAGGCTGAGGACTAAGATTTTAATACAGGAGTGTTTGGGGGACTCCCAAATTCAAACTATGATACCTGTCCGGGTTTCTTCACCAGTGAAATGAAGCTGGTAATACTTGCCTTATGAGCTGTTGTTAAAATCTAGTGTAATCAAGTTGGGCATAATGGAGCATGCCTTTAATCCCTAGCACTCGGGAGGCAAAGGCAGTCAGATCAAGCTCAAGTTATGATCAACGGAACAAGAGTGACAATGAAGCAATTTTCCAGAAGTAGAATTTTCATTGAATCTTCAAAATCAGTCAAACTAATTTTGATTACATCAAAAGAAACAGGTGCTTTCTCCCTACCACTCCAAACAAAGTTATTTTTTTCCCAGTGGTTTATAGGGGAAAAATGTGGAATTAATTATTTTTTTACATTTGTTTATGGAGGACGTACACGCACTATGGTGCTCATGTGGAGGTCAGGGGACAACTTGCAGAAGTCACTTCTTTCTTTCCACAATGTGGGTCCTAGGAATCAAACTCAGGTCCTCAGTTTTGGCAGCAAATACCTTTACTTTCCAAACCATCTAGTTGCCCCCCAGGAATGTGTTATTTCAATCATAGTATTTAATATTTGCAAATCCTGTGTGAGTATCATTTTATTAATTATACTTTAAAATGAGTCCCCAAGCAATTCAATAACTTTAGAAACCAAATTCAATTTCATACTACTCAAATCTGCTAGTTTAGAAAATTTCTTATGTAATAATAGTTTCTGCCCTGCATCCATGTATTTTGCATTAAGATAGTCTTAAGACCATTTCTTTTGGATAAATATCACAATCTAAAATGATTAAAATGTTCATTCAGATACAATTGACGTACCACAAAATGTACCCATTTAGGTTATTTTTAAGGAGTAAATTAATTTAACAGACATTAATAGCCTCAGAGTGTGTGTGCTTGGAGACATCCTTGCGTGTCATAGAACTATAAACCCTCCTATTTTGTGTGTTCCCATTTGAGCTAGCAGTTTGTGTCTCTTGGATGTTACAGAGAAGGGGCGGTCACAGAGCTCAAGTGCCTTGTTTTGCCTGTGATATAGGAGCAGAGCACTGTAATTGCATAATTAATTGGAAAGCACATGTGGTAGATTACATCAATTATCCAATTTAATCTTCACAAAATCCACTGAGGAACATGCTATTATTATCATTTTACAGATGAGGAAAACAACATTAAGAAATTTAAGGAGTATATCTAAATTCACCTGTGTTCTGGGTTTGCCTGACTTCAGAATTCATCATTTTAACCTTTATACTGCTTTTTTTGGTCCCAAATTTTGATTTTTTATTTTTATAAGTAAGCTAAGTTTTACTATTAACAAAAAAAGAAAACACAGATAAATAAAAAGAAAGAAATAACCAAAAATTCAACAACAAAATTCTTTACAAGTCCCAATTATTGGTTTGGTGTAAATTCTTTTTTTAAAGATTCATTTTTATATGTGTATGTGTGAGAGAAAAAGAGAGGGAAGATGAGAGAGACAGTATGTCAAGAGTATGCAGGTGCCCTTGGAGCTGGAGTTACAGACAGTTATGAGCCACCTGATGTGTGTGCTAGGAACCAAACTCAGGTCCTCTGGAAGAGCTGCAAGTGCTTTTACCCACTTAGCCATCTCACCAGCTCATGGTATAAACTCTTAGAGAATTATATATAACTATAAATGTATGTGAAGCTATGGTTTATAACTCTATATAAACTTACAATAATTATTTCTTGAAATGAGTTTTATATGTTCTGAAATATGTCATAATATTTCATCTGTAATATTTCCACTTAAACAAATATCTAGATCCAGACCAGCGGCATTTCATTGTTGAACGGAGCTTAATTCACCCACTCAACCAGCAAGGTGTGCACCTGTTTCCATATCTCTCCATCACATTGAAATTTTCATATCCATTTTTTTATCATCTTACCATCACCAGTAGTCTTTTCAATGTCTGTCAAGTTGAACACCTAAATAAGGATGATAGTCTGTTATCCAAATTTGAAATTCCTAGTGAAGAGGATTAATTTATTTCCCTATGGGCTTTCTAGTCATACATGTTCCATCCTTGTGAATGGTATTATTTTGTAGGTTTCTAGTTTTGTGTTGATTTTAAAAGGTCACTGCTTATATAGTAAAGACATTAATCCTTTTGCTGTAATGCACATTACCAATTAAATG